AAGCAGGTCTTGTCACTCCACCTCAGCCTCAACAACAGACTGCGATGGCCCCCCCTGACAATTCTAATCTTCATCAAACCAGCCACATGCATCAGACACCCCAGCCAAACCACTTTTCAGCCGGACTTATGGCCTCCAGGCTGCCCTGCTTCTTCTCATCTGGTGAAAACTTAGCCCAACTGCAGGCTCATTCCAACTCTGTAACTGGCTCCGATCGTGGACAGGGTTTCACAGATTCCCTACTAAGCACCATGACAGCAGCCTCTGGAGTTGGGCTTGGGCCATGTCCGTCCTTCTTCCCCAGCCTCCTGGCCGAGACCTGTTACCCTGGATTTGGGTTGAATGGAAGCCTTATCCCATCCAGCTCAACCGGGCAAGTACAGAACTCTGCCGCTTCACCGTCATCCTCTTGCTCATCTCCCTTCGGACCATCCTCTTTATTCGCACCTTTTTCCGCCGCCAACTATGGCGAATTTGAGCAGGCCGAAATGCTGACCATGTTGGCAAAGATGTCAGCAAATCTCCGCGCAGCAGCAGTTGCTGCTACCAGTCCTTCGGCTCCTGAGCCCAGCTTCACAATCACCTCGGCCGGTTCTCTGAACACTCAGGCCGGCTCATCCCTTTTGGCTCCGGGGGCGACAGGACTGCCGATCACGGGTGGTTGTTTTAGGTCGGGCCACATGGGCCCTGGAAACGCTGGATCAGAGCCTTTTCCATCCGGCGGCCCACCTCTTGCTTCTGTACCTCTCGTTAATAGCCAGTCGAACTGGTCACTACGGGCAGGTGTACTGGCTTGTGAGCTGAGCGAACGAGCCATGCTTCCACCCAGCAACATAGTGGACTCGGCTGAGCGGGTACCGGGTCAAAGTGGGCTCATGTCAACCCTTTCGGTGACTTCGGGCGCCGGCGAAAGTGGCAGCAACAGTCGCAATCTGCTGCTCTGCCCCGGGCTTGGCAGCTCGAGTGACGGCGACGAGGACAGCGAAGTCGACGGCGACGCCGTTGAGGGTGATCCGGAGGGTTTCACTGGCGCAGAAATCAGTCGATCACATGCGGAAGCCCTGTTGTCTCACATGACCTGTAGAGGAGAAGGTGATGAGGGTGATTGCGACGAGGATGAAGATGATAACGATGATGAAGTGCATGCTAAGAGTATATCGGGACGCGATTCGCGTGGCACTCGTGCCCGCGAGCAGCAGAACGATACAGTAGATTCACATGTCGCCCCAGCCGGGCCTGGTTCGCTGGGTCATGCCAAGAGGATGTCTGGAGTCTGCGCCAGCTCGGCCGAAAGACGGGCAGCTTGCGGCAGCCCAGTCAGTCCCGGTGGGCTCAACTGTCTGGGGAGCGGCTTCGCGAGAGGACAGAGTGGAGCGTCTGGAGGAGAACTTGCTGTAGGACTCGGCTCCGTTGCCAGCTACCTGGATCAGTCGAAGAGGTATCGCACCAGCTACACACACCACCAGACCAAGGTCTTGGAGGCCAGCTTCAGGCATGAGCGCTACATAAGCCGGCCACAGAGAGCCCAGCTAGCAGTCGAACTTGGCTTGCCAGAGAACACCATCAAGGTGAGTTGATGGATGGTGGGCTCAGATTCTGTCATAACTACTCTCACAATCTATCTCAAATAAATGCAAGAAAGAACTTTAAATTAAGGTCAAATATTTCTGTTATATTTTACTCAAGTCCTAGCATTCGCCACTTCCATTTTACTAAACAAGGTATAATCAGAGTGTGATTGCGCTTAGCCTACACCACGTTTTTACTAGCCTCTAGGAGAGACTATGAAGTTGTTTCCGTGCCAACTTCCTTAAAATGGATGTCAAGTCGTTTATTGCAAGTAAAACTAAGGGATAGTCCTGAGGCTACAATGCGACATGCAAGTGAATGTAAAACACGTTGGTTTGATTTGTCCGATCCCCCAAACTTGTATTATAATTTGTGAGAAGTGTACATAAACTTAGATATAAGATTGGTTTATGTTACAGATTTTTGGTTAAGGAGTTTAATTTTTAAGCTAACTTCCATTCCAAAT